CGAATTTCTTCTTCTTTCTCTGACTTCTTGCTGAATAGCTCTATTGTATTTTCGCCCATTAGATCAGTCTTATATTTGCATTCCAGTTGATGCTGTTGCCGACCCGTGGAAGATGTTCTACTAATTCCGATCCCGCCGTGTCTATGAATCTGCAGAGTCTCTCAGATCTACTTTTCCTAATAGTTTTTGCAGTTGATGCATTAAACTTCCAAACACTCCATTTTGTTGAACTAGTCGTGACAGTCGAAAAGGTATTGCTTTGTCTGCAATAGTAGTCATGATAATTTACAGCCTCGGTCCGTCTAACATGGTACACTCCCAGACGATTCGCCGGCCTCGTAATCAACAGTGTGAATGAGAGGCGCTAGTTTTAGCACCCAGTCACAACTTATCAAAGGGGCATGTGAAAGCAGTCTGTTCAACCACAGTGGTCTGTCCATTCACCCGATAAAGAAGAGGATGGTATCTCCCTTCCTCGAGGCAACTTCATGTGGCTTACTTACATGTCTATCTCTACCTGTTTCTTCCTTTATTGTAAGGTCACATAAAGTTGTCACTTCGAGTGGAGCTAATGAAGACCAATCATCTTCATCACTGATTTTAGATGCTGCTCATGGGGTTTCTCAAACCCAGTCAGCCATCCCACTTGGCCATCTAACTTGAATATCATTGTCCTGTCCTATTAACTGTGCATGAACCCCTCTTTACGCACTATTCGATGGGATTAGCTGCTCTTTAACGACAATTATCACACCTGCAGTCTTACCCTCCATCCGATTCTGGCATATTCTCTGTGGTCCTGTATTTGGCTTAAATTGGATCCGCTAATAAGCGCTTTTAAATCAAGTAAAATACTCCTCTTGCTTTTTCACGGCGTCAGTTCCACCCAATCTTGAAGTTCTACTTAGTTCCGTGATTGTCTATTGGTTACTAAATACTTCTGTACTGAACCACCTTTACCACACCCTAATACATTAAGCGAATTCACAATGTCCGCTACCTTTTCTGCAAGCCCAAGATGGTCTATATCATGAAAGTATTGTCCCTAATGACCAGCTATTCACCTGACTCTTTGATCCCTCACATCCTTATCGCCAGATGGACCCATTCGGGCTAATTTTTGTAGTTAGGTTTGACTCCTTTCCCGAAATTCGTCCTCTCTTGGCTTCCACTTGTCCCTTAAAATCCTCCTTTATTCTCACTATATATGGCACATTCTTTTGTTGCATTTACATCATTGGTGCAATTTATTCAGCTACTTCCAATTTTCCCACATCCATAGTCACTTGTTTTAGTTAATTCCTATTTTGAGTGTTTTCCTCATTTTTGAACCTTACTCATTTTTACAGTGGCTACAGTCGATACAGTCACCCCCGTACCAACCAGTCGTCTTGGCCTTATTCAATGAATAGTGTTGTCTTTTGATTCAGGAATGTAAGAATGCTCCATTTAATAAACAGTATCATTACTTGTTATGGCAGAGGAAGCAAGGCCAAATTGCGAAAACAAGGTATGAAGACCAAGATGGTGTGTCCTTTTGTGTGGTCGCAGTCTCCTTTCGTTGTATATAAGTTGCTTGACCTTGTTTTCGCAACTTGGTCATATTGGTTGGAAGACTTAGAGGAACACACCTAGTCCGGAGTGC